CATTCTATGAGTCTGCTGTGTATCCCGCTTCCCATGTTGGATCGTTCTCTCCCTTTTTTATTCTATCAGTTAGTATTTGCAGGCACTATTCTTGTTTATGTGATCCCTTTGGTTCTTTGTCCTATTAGTATGATCAATTGTGAACAGAAATTGATCACTTGGACTAGTGAGATGGCATTGGTACATGCCACCTTGATGGGATTGAATTGGAACCCCCTGGTATGTTTCTAACTCTACTGTTTGAAGCAAGTCAGCTTGAGCATGTCCCAAATTTACATATCTTCCCTCTCTTATTCCCACTCTAAATTTAACAGGGATCATTTTTTCAGTTAAGTATCAACACTTAAGAATAACTCTCTATTAATTACAGAGTTCAACCTATAGTATTAAGTAGAACAAACAAAAAAAAATACTAGGAAGGTTAAAGTATTAAGTTGTTCATCAACAGTCAGGGCAAGGGCTGATCAAGTCACCGTTGCTCATAGTGTCCATTTCACTTCAACAGGTTTCCTTTTTGGTGCACAGTTAGTTGCCACCGATCAGGGAGAACATATGATGGCTAGGTTGTATGGTAGGGTTATATTCAGGTTTCTGAGGAATCTCCAGACTGACTTCCATAGTGGCTTTACCAGTTTACATTCCCACCAACAGTGGGATAGTGTCCCTTTTTTCCCACATCCTCTCCACCATCTGTTGTTGGTAGATTTCTGAACGTGAGCCATCCTCACCGAGGCTCTGAGGTGAAACCTCATTGTGGTTTTGATTTGCATTTCCCTGATTGCTAGTGATCTTGAACATTTTTTCATGTGCCTGTTGGCCATTTGGATTTCCTCTTTTGAAAAATGTCTGTTGAGGTCCTTGGCCCATCTCTTAAGTGGGTTGTTAGTTTTGTTGTTGTGGAGTTTCTAGATCTCTTTGTAGATTCTGGTTATTAACCCTTTATCTGTTGCATAGTTTGCAAATATTTTTTCCCATTCTGTCAGTTGCCTCTTCACTCGTCTGACTGTTTCTTTTGCAGTATAGAGACTTCTCAATTTGATGCAATCCCAAATGTTAATTTTGGCTTTGACTGCTTGTGCTCCCAAGTCTTTTCCAGGAATTATTTGCCGATGCCAATATCTTGCAAGGTTTCTCAGTGTTCTCTAATAATTTGATGGTGTCAGGTCATAGATTTAGGTCTTTAATCCATGCTGAGTGGATTTTTGTGTAAGGTGTAAGGTAGGGGTCTTGCTTCATGCTTCTGCACGTGGAAATCCAGTTTTCCAGCACAATTTATTGAATAGACTGTCCTGGCTCCAGGAATTGGTTTTAGATCCTTGGTCAAATATAAGTTGGCTGTAGATGTTTGGATTGATTTCTGGTGTTTCAATTCTGTTCCATTGGTCTATCCATCTGTCTCTGTACCAGTACTATGATGTTTTGATTACAATTGCCATGTAGTATGTCCTGAAATCTGGTATTGTGATGCCTCCAGCTTTGCTTTTGTTGTACAAGATTACTTTAGCTATTCGAGGTCTCCTGTGTCTCCATATGAATTTCAGCATCATTTTATCCAGATCTGAGAAGAAGGTCTTCGGTATCTTGATTGGTATTGCATTGAATCTATAAATTGCTTTTGGGAGAATGGACATTTTGATGATATTGATTCTTCCAATCCATGAGCATGGAAGATTTTTCCATTTCTTGGTATCCTCTTCTATTTCTTTCTTTTAGGTTTTGTAATTTTCATCTTAGAGATCTTTAACGTCCTTGATTAAGTTAATTCCAAGGTATTTGATTGTTTTTGTAGCTATTGTGAATGGGATTGATCTTAGAAGTTCTTCCTCAGCCGTGGAACTGCCTGTGTATACAAAGGCTGTTGATTTTTGTGCATTGATTTTATATCCTGCTACTTTGACAAACTCTTCTATGAGTTCCAATAGTCTCTTAGTAGAGTTCTTTGGGTCCCCTAAATAATCATGTCATCTGCAAAGAGGGATAGTTTGACTTCTTCCTTCCCAGTTTGTATCCTTTAATTTCTTTTTCTTGCCTAATAGCTCTGGCTAGAACTTCCATTACTATATTGAATAGCAGTGGTGAGAGTGGGCATCTCTGTCTGGTACCAGATCTCAGTGGAAATGCTTCCAATTTTTCCCCATTCAATAGGATGCTGGTGCTGGCCGTGGGTTTTTCATAAATTGTTTTGATTGTATTGAGGAATATTCCTTCTGTACCCAGTTTGCTTAGGGTTTTCATCATGAAAGGGTGTTATATTTTATCAAATGCTTTCTCTGCGTCTATTGAGAGAATCATATGGTTTTTCTTCTGCAGTCTGTTAATGTGGTGTATCACATTGATTCTTTTGCACACATTGAACCACCCCTGCATTCCAGGGATAAATCCCACTTGATCTGGCTGGATGATTTTTCTGATGTGTTGTTGTATTCTATTGGCGAGAATTTTATTGAGGATTTTTGCATCTATGTTCATCAAGGAATTTGGTCTGTAATTTTCTTTCAATGCTGCATCTTTCTCTGGCTTAGGGATTAAGATGATGCTGGCTTCATAGAAAGAATTTGGGAGGATTCCATCTTTTTCGATTGTTCTGAATAGTTTGAGAATAAATGGAGTTAGTTCTTCTTTAAATGTCTGGTAGAATTCAGCAGTGAATCCATCTGGTCCTGGGCTTTTCTTTGTTGGGAGGGCCTTTATTACTGTTTCAATTTCTGTCTCAGTTATGGGTCTGTTTAGGTTTTCTGTGTCTTCATGATTCAATTTAGGTAGATTGCATGTGTCCAGGAATCTATCCATTTTTGATTTCCCTGTTTGCTGGCATACAAGTTCTTGTAGTAATTTCTGATGATTCTTTTTATTTCTGTGGTGTCTGTTGTTACGTTTCCTTTTTCATCTCTGATTTTATTGATTTGGGTCTTTTCTCTTTTTTATTTAGTTAGTGAAGCCAATGGTGTGTAAATTTTATTCATTTTTTTCAGAAAACTAGCTCTTCACTTGCTGATTTTTTGCAATTTTTTTTGGATTCAATCCTGTTGATTTCTTCTCTGATTTTAATTATTTCTCTTCTCCTACTAGATTTGGGTCTGGTTTGCTGCAAATTTTCTAGGTCCTTGAGATGCGCTGAAAGCTCATTTATTTGGTGCCCTTTCAATTTCTTGATTTAGGCACCTATTGATATAAACTTTCCTCTCAATACTGCTTTTGCTGTATCCCATAAGTTTTGATATGTTGTGTTGTTAGCCTCATTTACTCCCAGAAAGTTTTTGATTTCTCTTTTGATTTCTTCTATGACCCAATGTTCATTCAGGAGCATGTTGTTCAGTCTCCATGTGTTTGCATATGTTCTAGGGATTCCTGAGTTACTAATTTCCAACTTCATTCCCCTATGGTACAAGAAGTTGATGGTATGATTCTAATTCTTTTGAATTTGCTGAGACTTGCTTTATGGCCTAGTATGTGGTCAATCCTAGAGTAGGTTCCATGTACTGCTGAGAAGAATGTAAAATCTTTAAATGTAGGATTGAAAGTTCTCTAGGTGTCTGTTAGATCCATTTGGGCAATAGTGTCAATTAAATCTGCTGTTCCTTGTTGATCTTCTGTCCGGTTGATCAGTATATTTCTGAGAGTGGATTATTGAAATCCCCCAGTACTATTGTATTGGAATCTAAGTCTCCCTTTAAGTCCCTTAACATACCTTTTAAATAAACCGGTGCCCTGCAATTAGGTGCATATACATTTATAATGGTTACATCTTCCTGTTGAATTGAATCCTTAATCATTATATAGTGTCTCTCTTTGTCTCTCTTAACAGTTTTTGTGTTCACGTTTATTTTGTCTGATATTAAGATGGCTATGCCCGCTCTGATTTCATTTCTGTTGGCATGGAATATGTTTTTCCAGCCTTTCACTTTCAGTCTGCATGCATCTTTGTTGGAAAGATGTGTTTCTTGTAGCAGCAAATATATGGGTTTTGTTCCTTAATCCATTCAGCCAGTCTCTGCCTTTTAAATGGAGAATTAAGTCCATTAACATTCAATGTGACTACTGATGAGTAGTGACTGCCCTGCCATTTTCCCAAAGATATTTTCTAGTATATGCGTTGTTTCCTATGATCTTTTACTGGTAGGTTTTCTTCCTTTACCTTCTTTCATATTGATGGCCATGTTTCTGTGTTTCTGTGTGTAGCACATCTTTAAGCATTTTCTGCAGGGCTGGACGAGTGGCGACAAATTCTATGTCTTCCTGGTTCAATTTAGGTAGGTTGCATGTGTCCAGGAATCTATCCATTTCTGATAGGTTACACTATGAGAAACAGTGAGTTGATCAGCTCTTGTCCTGACGGTTGATGTACAATATAATACTTTATCCATTTTAGTATTTTTTTTTTGTTCTAGTACCATTGGTTGAATTCTGTAATTAACACACAATTATTCTTAGGTGTTTAAATTTTAACTGAAAAGTGATCCCTGTTAGGAATTTGGAAAACATTATGCTGAGTGAAATAAGCCAATCCCAAAGGGACAAATACCACTTGTTCTCCTTGATAGGTGACAACTAACTGAGCACAAAAAGGAAACCTGTTAAAGTGAAATGAACACTATGAGAAATGGTGACTTGATCAGCCCTCGCCCTGACTGTTGATGAACAACTTAATATGTTATCCCTCTTAGTATTTTTTGTTTGTTTGTTCTACTTAATACTTTTGGTTGAATACTGTAATCAATACACAATTCTTCTTAAGTGCTGAAACTTAACTGAAAAGTGATCACTGTTAAATATAAGAGTGGGAATAAGAGAGGGAGGAGATGTACAATTTGGGACATGCTCAAGCTGACTTACCTCAAATGGTAGAGTTAGAAACATACCAGGGGATTCCAATTCAATCCCATCAAGGTGGCATGTACCAATGCCATCTCACTAGTCCCAGTGATCAATTTCTGTTCACAATTGATCATAATGATAGGAAAAAGAACCAAAGGGATCACATAAACAAGAATAGTGCCTGCAAATACTAGCTGATAGAATAAAAAAGGGAGAGAACGATCCAACATGGGAAGTGAGATACACAGCAGACCCATAGAATGGCAGATGTCCTAAACAGCACTCTGGCCTCAGAATCAGCCCTTAAGGCATGCAGATCCGGCTGAAAAGCCCATGAGAGTATTTCAGGCATGGAAAGCCAAGACACTCTGGGGAAAAAAAAAAAAAAAAAAAAAAAAAAAACACACAACCTAAATGAAAGATCTCTGCGAGTGAGATCCCAGTGGAAAGAATAGGTCATCAAAGAAGGAGGTACCTTTCTCTGAAGGGAGGAGACAACTTCCACTTTGACCATGGCCTTGTCTAAATATGATCAGAGTCGGTGAACTCAGGGGGCTTCCATAGCCTTGGCAACTCATGACAAGAGCCTAGGGTGATTACTGATGCCATAAACAAGAGTATCAATTTGTTAAGTCAACAACAGGAGTCACTGTGCACTTACTCCTCATGTAGGATCTCTGTCCTTAGTGTGCTGTACATTGAGATTTAATGCTATAACTAGTACTCAAACAGTATTTTTCACTTTATGTTTCTGTGTGGGAGCAAACTGTTGAAATCTTTACTTAATGTATGCTAAACTGATCTTCTGTATATAAAGAGAATTGAAAACGAATCTTGATGTGAATGAAGGGGAGAGGGAGCGGGAAAGGGGAGGGTTGCGGAGGGAGGGACATTATAGGGGTAAGCCATTGTAATCCATAAGCTGTACTTTGGAAATTTATATTCATTAAATAAAAGTTAAAAAAATTCAAAAGATGTTCAAGACACCAAGAAGATAATTAGTTAGAAGCAGCTATGTTTACAGGAATTCAAAAATGTCAAATATGAGCCCAAGTAAGATGTATGCTTTGAGAAGATCTTTAGCTTCTCTTTGGGTTGATCCCAAAATTGAGAAACAAAGCCAAGATAATTAGGGAAGGACTTCTCCAGCAAAGAGCCAGCCTGCAGTAAACAGAAGAGGTGGTTGTTTCATCAAATGTCTACTTGGCCCACTGTGAACAACAAAAAACTCCACAATGTATACAAAGGAACAAGGATTACCATTCAATGATAATGATAGGAGAAGCTATTTGGCCTACCCATTAAGATGCCTATGTCCAATATCAGTGTCCAATTTCAAGTTCCAGCTCCAGCTCCAACTCCTGGTTCCAACTACCAGCTAATGTGAACTCTGGGAGATAGCAATAATGGCTCAAGTAATTGGGTTGCCATCACCAACGTGGGAGACCTAGATTGAGTTCCCAGCTCCTGGCTTGGCTCTAGGCAACTGTCACTGCAGGCATCTGGAGAGTGAACTAGAGGATGGGAGCTCTCTCTCACTCACTCTCTCTGTGTATATATGTCTCTCTGTGTGTGTATGTGTGTAATCCTATGTCTCTGCCCCTCAAATAAAAATAATTTTTAAAATAAATTTGCAGAAACAATACCTGAAGAAACATAGGCATCAGACGTACTAGAAAAAGACTTTAGGGGCCGGTGCTGTGGCACAGTAGGTTAACGCCCTGGCCTGAAGCGCCGGTATCCCATATGGGTGCCAGTTTGAGTCCTGGCTTCTTCTCCTCTTCTGATCCAGCTCTCGGCTATGCCCTGAGATAGCAGTGGAAGACGGCCCGAGTCCTTGGGTCCCAGCACCCACATGGGAGACCCGGAAGAAGCTCCTGGCTCCTGGCTTCAGAGTGGTGCAGCTCCAGCTGTTGCGGCCATCTGGGGAGTGAACCAGCAGATGGAAGACCTCTCTCTCTGTCTCTACCTCTCTCTGTAACTCTGCCTGTCAAATAAATGAAATAAATCTTTAGAAAAAAAAAAGAAAGAAAAAGACTTTAAATCAACTATCTTAAACATTTTCTAACAGGTAAAGGAGAACATGGACAAATAACTAAAGAAATTAGGGAAACTATATGAATAAAATTAGAATGTCAACAAAAATAGAAATTATAATCAGAACCAACCAGAAATTCTGGAGCTGAAAAATATAATAGTCTAATTGAAAATTTTACTGAAGCCATTCAAGGCAGACTTCAGCAAGCACAAGATTCAGTGAGCATGAAGGTAACATATTTCAAATTACCAAATCCTATAAGAAAAAAAATGAAAAAGTGAACAGAGCCCAAGAGATAAAACACAATCAAGCAGGATAACATATGCATTATGGGAGACCCAGGGTGGTGGTGGGGGACGAGGAAAAAGAGGCAGATAACTTGAAGAAACAATGGCAAAAACTTTTCCAATTGAGGACAGAAATGGATATACAAATTCAACCAGCTTAGCAAACTCCAAATGTAATAAAATCAAAGACAACCACCAAGACACCTTATCAGTATAACTTAGTTGTTGAAAATCAAAGCCAAGGAGAGAATATTTAAAGGAGAGAAAAAATAACTTGTCACAACAAGGAAAATGAATCAGACTGTCAATGGATTTCTGAGTAGAAAACTTATAGAACAAAAAGATGATATATTCAAATGCTGAAAGAAAAAATATCATCCAAGAATACTGTATCTGGAAAACTGTCCTTCCAAAAATGAAGGCAAAATTAACACCTTTCCAGAAAGAAGGAAAAACAACATTGAATCAGTATCACTAGGTCTGCCCTACAAAAAATGCTAAAGGGAGACCTTCAAATAAAAATAATATCAAAATATGTCAGTACAAAAAAATACAATTAAACACAAAAGAAGGCAGTAAGAAGAAATGAGGGACTAAAAAGCCATTAGACATTAAGTGAACAGGCATCAAACTGCCAACAGTAAATTGTTCCATATCTGTATATATTTCAAATGTAAAGAATTAATCTTCCCCAGTCAAAAGATATACATTGGCTAAAAAGATAAGAAAAATAAGGCTCCAACAATATGCTGTGCAAAAGAGACTTATTTCAGATCTAACACATAAGCTAAAAATGAAAGGACAGAAAAAAGATATCCCATGTAAATAGTAACTAGAACAGCAGACGTCTATGTACTAATATCAGATAAAATAGCTTTTTAGTCAAAACTGTCACAGTGGGCAGCATCATGGCAAAGCAGGTTAAGCCACCAGTTGTGATGCCAGCATTGCACATCACAGTGCTCCATCAAGTTTTGGCTACTCCACTTCCAATCCAGGTCTTTGCTAATGTGCCTAGGAAGGCAGCAGATGATGATTCAAGTACTTGGGGCCCTGTCACGCATGTGGGAGATCTAGATGGAGTTCTTAGTTCTTCACTTCAGCCTGGTCCAGCCTTGGTTGTTGTGGCCATGTGGGGAATGAACCAGTAGATGGAAGGTATTTGTCTCACTTTCCTTTCTCCCTGTCCCTCTGTCCTTCAAATAAATAAATCCATTTTTAAAAACTTACACAGACGGCTAATAAGGATACCATACAACTATTAAACAATCAATTCACCAAAAAGATATAATAATTATAAATAGTTATGCATGAAACATCAGAACTTTTAAATACATGAAGCATGTATGGACAAAAAGGAAGAATTAGATATTAGGAGATTTCAATAACTTAACTAGACAGAAAATCAATAAAGAAAAAGAACACTTAAATAACACTAAAGGCCAATTGGATAGGACATACAAACAACTCTCTATCTAACCCCTTATAAAATCTCAACATTTTTTGCAAAAACAGAAATTTCTATCCTTAAATTTGTAGTGAAAAGTCAACATACCTCATAAAAACAAAACAACCTTGAAAAAAAATTGAGAACTCATACTTCCTGATTTCAAAGTTTGCTACAAAGCTACACTGATCAAAAACAGTATAGTACTGGCATACAGACAGACATGTGGAACTATGGAGCAGAATGGAAAGCAGGATTAAACCCTTATATGTATGGATGAATTATTTCTGACAAGAGTGTCAAGATCATGCAACAGGGAAAAGGCAATATTTTCAATAAATGTGTTAGAAAAATTGAATATGCAATACAAAAGAATGAAGCTGGACCCTTACTTTACACCATGTACAAAAGGTAATTCAAAATGTGTCAAAGAACTACATGTAAGGTCTAAAACTATAAACCTCTTAGGAAAAAAAAAGGGGAAACCTTTACAATTTTTGATTTGGCAGTGACTTCAAGGATGAGACACCAAAAGCGTAGCTAACAACAAAAGAAAAACAGGTAAATCAAACTTTCATTAAATTTTAAAAACATTTTCCCTTAAGGGAAAATAGAGTAAAAAGATAATACACACAGGAACAGAAAATATTTTCAAATAACCTATCTGGTAAATGACATGTGTGCAGAATATATACAGAACACAACTTAATTAAAAATATTTTTAAGTAGGCTAAAGCCTTGAATGAACAATTCCTCCAAGATATACAAATAATCAATAAGCATATGAAATAATACTCAATATCACTAATTATTAGACAAGTACAAATCAAAACTAGACTGAGAGGAGGCATTGGGCCTGGAGGTTAAGCTACTAGTTGGTATGCCCACATTCCATATCAGAGAGCCTAACTTTGAGTCCCAACTCCGCCCTCAATTATAGCTTCCTGCTAGTGAACACCCTGGGAGGTAGCAGTGGTGGGTCTCTGCCACACAAATGGAAGACCTAGGTCAGGTTCCTAGCTTTCGGTTTTGGCCCAGCCTAGCTCTGTGTGTTGTAGGCATTTGGAAAGTGAACCAACAGATGGGACAGCATGCTCACTTTTTCTAACTTTTTATTTTTTAAAAAGAGGCAAAAATGCAAGGCCAGCGCTGAGGCACAGCAGGTTAAAGCCTTGGCCTGAAGCGCCGGCATCCCATATGGATGCCAGTTCAAGTCCCAGCTGCTCCTCTTCCGGTCCAGCTCTCTGCTATGGCCTGGGAAAGCAGTGAAAGATGGCCCAAGTCATTGGGCCCTTGTACCTGCATGGGAGACCTGGAAGAAGCTCCTGGCTCCTGGCTTCATATCGCCACAGCTCTGGCCATTGTGGCCATCTGGGGAGTGAACCAGCAGATGGAAGACCTCTCTACCTGTCTCTGTCTCTCTCTGTAACTCTGCCTGTCAGATAAATAAAATAAATCTTTAAGAAAAAAAAAGGAGGCAAAAACGGCAATAAGAAACTACTTCACACACAGTAGGATGGCTATTACTAAACCACAGTAAACAGGGGCTGGAGTTGTGGTGTAGTGGGTAAACCCGTTACCTGCAATGTCAGTATACCATATGGGAGCCAGTTAGAGTCCCTGCTGGAATCCAACTCCTTGCTAATGGCTTGAGAAAAGCAGTAGAAGATGGCCCAAGTGTTTGGGCCCCTGCCACCCATGTGGGAGACACAGATGAAGCTCCTGGATCCTGGCTTCAGCCTGGCCCATTGATGGCTGTTGCAGCCATCTGGGAAATGAACCAATGGATGCAATATTCCCTCATTCCGTCCCTCCTTTCCTCCCTCCTTCCCTCCCCCCCCCCCCCGCCCCGTGTGTGTGTCCCTCTCACTTTATAACTCTTTCAAAATAAGTTAAAAAAAAAAAAAAGTTGAAAAAAAAAAAAAAAGGAAATCCAAGATAGCTGAATAGGGTTTAGTCACACTGACTTAAAGTGCTCTAGGACTAGGATATGAAAAGAATAAAGGAAGAACAATGTTTCCAGGGATCTTACAGGCAGAAATTTTCAGCAAAGAAGTAAAAACAAACACACACACACACACACACACACAGAAAAATGCGTGAGACAAAAGGAGAGAAGACAGACACCGCTGCAGCCAGCCATGCAGAGCAGTCAGCTGCTGGCCATGAGCCAACATCTTACCATGCCAAGGTAGGAAGAAATGGCCACAAGCTTCACTGCTCGCAGTTTTAGTAGAGAGGCAATTCCACAGTTAGCATCTTTTACTTCAGCCTGGACAGCTGACTGAGGTCTGAGCAACTTCCAGGCTTGGAGCAGGGAAGCCACCTTGATTCTTTCCCCTTCCCTACTCCTGCAGTGCGCCATACTCAGCAACAATAAATCACACAGCACACCTCTGTTCTACCAACACCATAAAGCTGGCAACACGTGGGGCAAAGGACAGATCCCTTTTATCCTGCAACTGTTGGAGTTTTTGGGCATTAGCCCCAGGGCTAATGCATTCTACATGAGCAAGAAAGATTCACTTTAGCTTATGGGGGCTAACACAAGAAGCAGTCCATAAAAAAATCTGTTCCCACCCTGGGAGATCTGTGTAATGATCCTACTATACCCTTCAACACCAGGACTGTAACAATTTGTTCTCAATTTCTTGGTATCACTGGAATCTACCCAGCAGACATAGGGAAGAACCTACCCACATTCTACCTCTCTGGACTCATACACTCTAGAGTAAAATCTCTGGTCCCAGAACTAGGGCTGTTGGCGTTGTAAGCCACAGCACCAGTTGGACTCTCCTAGCAGGACCTGAGGAAGTGTTTACCCGTATCACATGGTCCTAAAGCCACAGCAATTGGTGCCACAAGTCCCAGCATCACTCAGGGTCCTCAGTGGGACAAGGAGGCAGCCACCTTTGTCTCCCTCAGCACCAAGAACAAGTCCTTAGTTGTCACATTTGCCAGTTATACTAAGACTAAACTCTTTGTGAACCAAAGATACACACCAAAAGAAACCCTTATTCATCTCAAGGCCATACTTCTATCCCTTATGAAGTGCAGCAGACTAGTCCACTACATCACATATAGACACAGCTGACAACAATTAAGACAAAAGAAATCAGAGACTACATTCCTAGGCTAACCTAGAACTAAAGCCAAAGCAACAAGCCAAGTGATACCCTACATACCAGCTAAAGGTTTTACAATAAAATCTACTCCATAAAAAAGAAGGGTTGAATACACCAGATGGACAGTTGTCAACCTAGAGACACTGGAGACATGAAGAAGCAAAGTATCATGACTCCTCCAAAAAAAACACCATAGTTCTCTAGAATTAGATCCTGAACTGAATGAAATCTATGAAGTAGCAGATACAGAATTCAAAGTAATAATTGTAAGGAAAATCAACACGATGCAGGAGAACACAGATGGATTAAAGAAATGAGGAAATCAGTGAGTGATATGAATGAAAATACTACTAAGGAGATAGAACTCATTAAGAAGAGGCAATTAAGGGTCAGCACAGTAGTGTAGTGGGTATAGCCACTACCTGCTGTGCCAGTATCCCATATGGGTACCAGTTAAAGTCCCAGATGCTCCACTTCCAATTCAGCTCCCTGCTAATGTGCCTAGGAAAGCAGCAGAGGATGGCCCAATGACTTGGGCCCCTGCAGCCACATGGGAGACCTGGAAGAAGATGCAGGCTCTGGGCTTCGGATCCACCCAGCTCTGGACGTTGCAGCCATTTGGAGAGTAAACCAGCAGATGGAAGACTCTGCCCTCCCCCCACTTCTGCCTCTCTGTAACTGTGCCTTTCAAAAAATAAACAAATATTTAAATAAAAATAAGAGCTAACTAGAAATTTTGGAGATGAAATATTCAGTCAACAACAACAACAAAAAAACATGATTGAGAGTTTTAACAGCAGAATACACCAGTGGAGTAAAGAATTTCTGTCCTCAAGGACAAGAATTTGAAATAACCCAATTAGACAAAAATCAAGGCCAGCGCCATGGCTCAGTAGGCTAATCCTCTGCCTTGCGGCGCTGGCACACCAGGCTCTAGTCCCGTTCGGGGCACCGGATTCTGTCCCAGTTGCCCCTCTTCCAGGCCAGCTCTCTGCTGTGGCCAGGGAGTGTGCAGTGGAGGATGGCCCAAGTGCTTGGGCCCTGCACCCCATGGGAGACCAGGAGAAGCACCTGGCTCCTGCCTTTGGATCAGCACGGTGCGCCAGCCACGGCGGCCATTGGAGGGTGAACCAACGGCAAAGAAAGACCTTTCTCTCTGTCTCTCTCACTGTCCACTCTGCCTGTCAAAACAACAACAACAACAACAACAACAACAACAACGACAAAAATCAAAAGAAAAGAATTTGAAAGAATCAAGAAAGTCAATATGAAATACAGGATACCATTAAATGACCAAATATTCATTTTATAGGTATTCCTGAAGTAGAAGAAAAAGAAAAAGGTATTAAGAACCTGCAAAATGAAATAATAGTTGAAAATTTACCAGGTTTTCAAAGAGACATGGACATCCAGATGAAGGAAGCTCAAAAACTGCAAGCAGACTCAACCAAAAAAGGTCTTTCCCAAGAAGTACTGTCATCAAATTGTTGAAAGTTAAAGATAAGGAGAGAATTCTAAAGACAACAATAGAAAAGTGTCAAGTTACATATAAAGGATAACCAACTAGATTAACATCAGACTTCTCAGCGGCAACTGTACAGGCCAAAAGAGAGTGGGATGATATATTCAAGGTCTTACAAGAAAAAAACTTCCAACCAAGAATATTATATCCAGTGAAGTTATCTTTTTAAATGAAGGAGAAGAGAAGCAAAAACTAGGAGAATTCACCACCTCCATACCAGCCTTACAAGAAATTCTGAAAGGCATCCTGCGTGAAAAGTAAACAACATGAAAACACATGACACCACCAAATTAACTAACAGAGCAGGAAGAATCATTATCTAATCAAAAAAATGACAGGTCTTAGTTCTTACCTATCAATACTAATCTTGAATGTAAATGGGTTAAATTCACCAACCAAAAGACTAAGGTTTGCTGAAGAGATTAAAAAAAAAAAAAAAAAAAACAAAACAAAACAAAACAAAACAAAACACGACCCCACTATATGCTGCCAATAAGAAAGTCATTTCACTAATAAAGATGCATACAGACTGTAAGTGAAGGGTTGGAAAAATATATACCAGGCAAATGGAAACAAAAAAGCATGCAGACACAGCTATCCTGATATCAGATAAAACAGGATTTAAATCAAAAACTAAAAAGCTGAATCAGAAATAGAGCAGCCAGGTCTTGAACTGGCACCCATATGTGATGCCAGCACTGCAGGTGGTGGCTTTACCCATTACCCCATAGCACTGGCCCCAAAGGTGTATAATTTCTTAAAATTACAAACAAAGCAACAAATTTTCTGTTAATATTTCTATTTTAAGTTTAATAATTTACCTGATGGATGACAAAAGCTTCAAAGTATTTGTTAAGATGTAGTGAGAAACTACTCATACTTACTTTCTCAAAAATTTTTTTTTAGATTTATGTATTTATTTGAAAGGCAGACTCAGATAGAGGGAAATATACAGACACACACACCCCCAGAGAAAGAGAGAGAAAGAGTGAAAGAGAGAGACAGAATCCTCCATCCCCAAATTGCTGTGACATTTGTGGCTGAGCCATGCCAAAGCCAAGAGCGAAGAACTCCAGCAGGATCTTCCGCATGGGTGACATGAGTACAAGCACTTGGGCCATTATCTACTGGTTTCCCAGGCACATTAGCAGAATTGAAAGTGGAATAGCCAGTGCCTATATGGGATGCAAGCTTTGCATGTAGCAGACTAACCCTTTGCACCACAAGGCTGGCCCAGGATGATTTTTTTTAATATTTTAAAATTCATCAACATACTCCCTAAAAAGGAGAGTTATATAACCATTAGGTAAAAAACAAAACAGTCAAGGTAGCCATAATATAGTGATCATTCCTTACAGACATGAACAAGTTTCTCAGTATTTATGATCTACTTCCTGAAATAGTTAAGATATTTTAAAAAATATTCTACTTCACAGAAGTATTTTATATATAATACCTAAACAAATTGTACATGAAGAAAAAAAATCATTAAAAGTTGTAGCATAAAATATTATTAAATATACAAATTTTCTTACAAATTAAAATTGAGTTTTGCTTTGAATTTGGGATGACAATGCAAAAAAAGGAAAACAGATTTTCCTTTGGGAAGCATCATGGTATAAAGAAAGAAATGCAGGATTTATCCTCACTGCTTCATACCCCATGCCTGTTTCTTCATCTGTAAAATTATAATTCTATTTAACACTATCACATGAATTAAATCAAATTAGGTAGTATGAAAGCATTCTGTAAACTCCAAAACAGTGCTCTGAATGTTTTTAAATATGCAACAGTACGTCTGTCTCAATACAAACATTTTTCTAGCACTATACTAACACTTAAGAATACTTGTGTTACAAACTGAAAAACAACTAAATGTGTTCTTAGTAAAGTTTTGAAAAAGACAGAAATCCTATTCCTATGGATTTTTCTTATAGTTCTTTTGTATAAATTCAAGGAATTATATTAAATCATAATTCAGTGAAGGCATTTCTATGGAAAGGTTGTATGTTCTCTCTACATTCCTTGCTGGTGGTTTAATTAACCCAGAAGTTACAAAGTTAGATATATAGATTACCTGTTATTAACCAGTCTCTCCTAAGTACCAGATGTCTCAGGCCAACCTCTGGGAAGTATCAGACTGTCCTTTTGAGACTGCATTTTCTAGAAAAAACATCAAGTACAAAATTCCTTGAAGTTTACTAAAAAGACATCTCTATATGATTGCACATATATAAGAAGCAGAATCAATTTTCAGTAATAAAACTTAAATAGCTAGTAATCTTGATCAGGAAATAGGGCAGGCAATTGGCTTACCCATAAGCAAAGGTCTTAGAAATCAGAGGAAAGAGCAGTTAATCATAAAGTTGTAGGAGTTAATCATAAAGCAGGTTCTAGAACACATTATTTATTAGTACATTAAAAAAAACTGGAGTGGAAAAAGTGCTCCACAGATAAATAAGAACTAACTTCTAATCCCTGTTCTGCAAAACAACCCATGTAAGCCTCAGTTTGATCATCTTCAAAGTATTTCAGAGTAGGAACTTTTAAGGCTTCTTGTTTCTTTAAAATATTATACGTCTGGAATTTATGTATTGTTACATCAGAAACTTCATGAGAGACCATTAGTAACACAGTGGAAACCTAACATAAAAAAGTGAAACAGGGGGGTTGGTGCTGTGGCTCATTTGCCTAATCCTCCGCCTGCGGCACCGGCATCCCATAAGGGTGCCGGGTTCTAATCCCGGTTGCTCCTCTTCCAGTCCAGCTCTCTGCTGTGGACCAGGAGGCAGGGGAGGATGGACCAAGTGCTTGGGCCCTGCACCCACATGGGAGACCAGGAAGAAGCACCTGGCTCCTAGCTTCGGATCAGCGCAGCGCCAGCCATAGCGGCCATTTGGGGAGTGAATCAACGGAAGGAAGACCTTTCTCTCTGTCTCTCTCTATCTATAATTCTACCTGTCAAAATTTAAAAAAAAAATTTAAAAAAGTGAAACAGAGGCCAGCACTGTGGTATAGTAGGCTAAGCCTCTACCTACAGCACTGGCATCCCATATGGGCACTGGTTCGTGTCTCAGCTGCTCTTCTTCTGATCCAGCTCTCTTCTAATGGCTTGGGAAAGCACTGGAAGATGGCCCAAGTGCTGGGGCCCCTGCATCCATGTGGGAGACCCAGAAGAAGCTCCTGGCTACTGGCTTTGAATTAGCTCAGCTCTGGCCATTGCAGCCATTTGAGGAGTGAACCAGCAGATGGAAGACCTTTCTGACTCTGTCTCTGTCTCTGTCTCTGCCCTTTTCCCTCTCCCTCTGTAAAACTCTACCTCTGAAAAAAAATTTTTTTAAAAAGTGTAACAACCACTTACTATATTGAAAAGTATCTGTATTAAGTGAGCAACAGGTCAAAATCCAGTTTGTGTCTAAACAAACCTTAACTTGTCTGCTGAATTTACTTACAAAAACCTGTGTACATTTAAAAGAAAATGACCTGGTTTCAACTCTACATTAGGTAACAGAATAGGGTGTTGCTCAGAGTATGCACTTAACCATAAGTAGAAGTCAAATGAGAGACTGGGGAAAACCCCTTTGTTGCTGTAAATTACTACAGGAATTAACATGCAGCTTCATTCAGTCAGAGTGAGCACAGTTTTAGCATGTAATAAAATGAAGATCAGGCTCAACTGGAAGCACAATTTCCAATTACCAAAGAAAACTACTTCCTCTCAAACTAAGAAAGAAACAAAACTACCAATTCTACAGTGGATATTCAGGGACTAAAATTTAATAAGCCTCGGTCTTATAATTCTATAGTTTTTATAAGTATTTTATTTATTTGGAAAGCAGAGTTACAGAAAGAGATGGAGATGGGGGGAGAGAGAGAGAAAGAGACTGACAGATTGCTTGATCAATCTTCTATCTGCTGGTTCACTCCTCAAATGTCTGCAACAGCCAGAGATGGGGCCAGGCCCAAAGCCAGGAGTCAGGAGCTCCCTCCAGGTCTCCCATGTGGGTGGCAGGGGCCCAAGGACTTGGACCATCTTCTGCTGCATTCCCAGGCACATTAGCAGGGAGCTGGATCAGAAGTAGAGCATTAGAGATCTGAACCAGTGCCCATTTAGGATGCCGGTGTCACAGGTAGTAGCTTTACCCACTATGCCACAAAACTATCCCGGTTTCTATAGTTTTACAACAAGGAAATACAAAGCTATCATTGTAGTACAGGGGGTTAAACTGCTATCTGGGATGCTGGCATCCCATATGAGTGCTTGTTTGAGCCTAGCTGCTCCACTTCCAATCCAGCTTCCCACTAATGTGCCTGTGGGCCTGCCACCCACGTGGGAGACCCAGATGGAGTTCTTGGCTCCTGGCTTTAGCCTGGCCTGGCCCAGCCCAACTGTTGCTGCCGTTTGGGGAATGAACAAGCAGATACAAGAGTGAGTCAGTCTTTCTCTCTCTCTCTAACTCTTTCAAATAAATAAATAAATAAATCCTGGGGGTGGATGGAAGGGAAATAATCCTAAATAGAGAAAAAAAAAACTTCATGCCTAAGAATCTTCATCATAGGGTTATTTATCGGAAGAAAGAAAGGAAAGAAGGAAAAAAAAGAAAGGAAATTAGAAACAAATTTATCCTAAAAAAGAATGTTAAATAAAGCTGTAGTGTTTGATAGAATAAAATCCATTAAAAAAAAAAATCTGGGAAAAGCAGTGAAAGATGGCTCAAGTACCTGGGCCCCTGCCACCGACACGGAAGACTGGGTGGACCTCCAGGCTCCTGTCTTCAGCCCAACCCAGCCCTGGTCTTTGTGATCATTTAAGGAGTTAACCAATGAAAGGAAGACATTCTCTCTCTCTCTCTCTCTCTCTCTCTCTCTAATCAATACATTTTTAAATTATTAAAGAACTGATTATAAAATATATAATTTCAATAATCTGCAAAATAAGGTAAAATCAGTATAAGAAAAGATTGAAGGCTTAGAAATGCCATGAAGTAAATCTTAATAACAGGATAGATTTCAAAAAGAAATCTTTTACAGTTCTGTTGTTGTTGCTTTTAATCCTGAGAGATTCTTGGGAAGTTAATTGGTTTCTTTCTAAACTTATTATTTTATTATTTGAGAGTCAGAAACAGTGACAGAGAGCTAGCTCCAATTTGCTGTTTACTCCTCAAATGCCCATAAAGGCCTGGGCTTCCCAGATTGACACTATGGGATGGGAACCCAATTCAGGTCTTCCACATGGGTGGTAGAGAGTCAATTACTTGAGTCACCACTGCTGCCTCCCGGGGACCCCATAGCAGGCAGCTGGAGTCAGGAGCCAGACCCAGATATTAAATCCAGATACTCTAGCATGGGACATGGGCATCTTAATTGATGTCTCAATCACAAGGCCAAATGTCCAGCCTTATGATTCCTGCTTTTCAAAGTATAATTCTTAAAGTAAAAGCAGCATTAATATCTGGATAAAAGATGCTACAGAATATCAAGAAAATGACTGGACTACAGGATATCTCTTAGGAATGCAGTCTGGTCTTCCAGTAACAAGTATAACCAGCAAGTAGGAAAATAATTTACCTAGGAACCCTGCCAGGTAGAAAACCTAACTCCACATTTCTGAGTGACTGTTCTAGTGATGTAGAAACTAGACTTTGATATGGTGGTTTACAAGCCAAGAGTAGGAACTTATGTTTTTAAAATGACAGTGCTTATGATATTTTATTTTTAAACTAAAACCTGCCCTAATACCCCTGAACTTTCCAGCACACACACTTAAGCCCCAGGCAGTACTAAATTACTCATTCTTCTTGTACCTGTTTTTCCAGGTTGAGGGATGTGAGTGTGTATACATCAGGATCCACAGGCACATACATACATATGTTTCCAGCCTTGTAATAATTTTGAGATACAACTACTTAAAATAACCCAAATGCATACATTCTGAAAATTTTCCCTTAATAACCTTTAAGGCTTAATTTAAGGAATAATTTTAAAATAAGTGTTTTTTTTTAAATTACACTGATACTTCTAAAAATTTTTCTCCAATTATGACATGGTAGTGTGCTGTCATCCTTATTTGCTTCACCTTTCAGCTTTACCATTTCAATTCTAAGTAGTTCTCTTCAATTTTTAAAGTATCTCCACTATATTATTTTTCAAACACTATCATTCACCTGAAGTTTTACTTTCAAACACCCTCTTATTGCAAAATCTCCGATTTTAGTTTTTGGACTTCATGGGGTTGTGAAGGAATGTGTGAAAGATGTAAAGAATAACAAGTGGGAAATATAGGCTCTTGTTAATATTTCTCTGCTGCTATATAAAATTTTATAAAAGGCTTATAAAAACCATTATCTTAAAAAGCTAATCTTCTGTTTTGTGAATTATTATCCCAAGATCCACAATCAAACACTCAATATAACAACAAAATGAAGACACCTATGCTTTAGAGACCATTTTATAAACACATAGGATTGTAAAGTCAAACATCTAAAAATTACAACGACCCACAACTTGAAATTTTTCAATGTGGAAGCCTTCAGATGCTTGCAAATTTCAATTAATATCCTGTCCTTCGTTCTTTGCCTTTTTGTGTTTCATATATTATTCTTCAATGTATTTTTATGAATACTGTATCAAACTTCTTTATAATAAAGGTGAACCTAGTTCTCTAGTTAACATGTACAGTGAATTTTGAGCTATTTTATTTTCATTGTTTTAAATACTTAAAAATAGTAAAGATATAAAACTTAAGTCAACTATTTTTACTCTGCTTAGATATTATTTAATTATTTTTATTTATTTACTGCAGGAAATTAGAGACGGTGGTTCTTTCAGAATGGTTCACTTTGGTTTTGTGTAAAGAAGAAACATTTAAAAAAAAAAGAAGAAATATTTTTACCTCAAAAAGAAGCCTGCCTCTTTCATCACCTGATACATATTAAAATCTCCCTGTGTGGATTTAATAAATGATGATATGAATTAGTTAAAAGTTTTAAATTCAGAGTGTTTTCAAAATAAAGTTCTACTAGTTTCAAAAACATGCATCATAACAGCAAACTGATCCTATGGCAAAGTAGTCAGCCTGCCTATTTCAATAATGTACAAATTTTGAAAATGTCCTGAATTGTATATTATTAGGTACTTCTAAAATGTTTAAATTTTTCCCCCAGGTGCTTCAAAAGTCCAATATGTAAATTTTTCCCCAAGTATTTTTTTAAATTTCCTCTTCTGATCTTGTTGACCTTACAAATATTTATTAAGCAAAAATTTCATCCCAGTCCTTTTGTTAGTAGACAGTTGTTCCACAGGTCTCTTGAATTACTGCTATGAGACACTGACTGCCCTTGGAATACAGAGAAACTATGTCCTTTGGAGCAAAAGTCAGGCACACCGACCTCCCATCATAAGACTTGAGTTTCTTAGCTCAGGGCTTCTCTCCTTTAAAAAGTTCATCAAATGTGCTAGTTCTCATCTGTCCCTTTTCACATTCTCCTATGAAAACAGAGCTCCAGGAATCAACACAGGGGGAAAAATGCTACAATTGCTGTAAATAATAAACTGTTTTTCTCTCTGACCCTGGCCTC